GCAATTGATGATATGTTCAGAATTTTGGAGAGCCATTTAGAGCAGAGAATGTTTCAGGCTTTCAATTTAAGGACTGGTTAATCAAAAAGCATATCAAACTAGTATGGAGTAACATATAGAAAGACCAGAAGAACTCTGGGCCACACCCATGTGCAAGAGGAAAAGGGCCCTACACAGCACTCTTAGGTAGATGGCAGGAAAACTGGAGCAAGTGTGTAACTGAATACATGGGAGTACAGCATTAGGAATGGGTTTTTAACATAATGGTGAGAGATTGGTGTTGTGTAGACGTCAGCAACCCTGGTGTACATTGTGTGAGCGCCGGGAGAGAGAGGTGGCAGTCTGTGTCTGGAACTCTTTAAAGCCTCCGAAGCCCCTCGCCCCGTTTTGCTCTGTCCTCCAGGGTCCCAAGGAGTTAGTATTGCCTTGACAGCAGCACTCTTGTTTTTGTTGTTTGTCCAGAAGCAGTTGACAAACATGACTGAGATGTACTTTTTGTTGTTAATCATTTTATTAGGGGCTCATACAACTCTTATCACCATCCATCCATACATCAATTGTATAAAGCATATTTGTACACTCGTTACTCTCATTCTCAAAACATTTGCTCTCTGCCTAAGCCCCTGGCATCAGCGCCTCATTTTTCCCCCTCGCTCCCCGCTCCCCCCTCCCTCATGAATGCTTGATAATGTATAAATTATTATTTTGTCATATCTTACATTGTTCGATGTCTCCCTTCACCCACTTTTCTGTTGGCCAGCCCCAGGGAGGAGGTTACATGTGATCTACTTTTTTAAGAAGCAACAACTTGCTTGGAAGGTTGTTCAGCGCCTTTATCTCCTAGGCTCCATTCATTCAATGCCTCAGCCAGCGTTTAGTATTTATTTATCTTACTATGTGCCGTGTGCTCGCTCAGGGCTATGAGACAGAGAGGTACAAGAAAGTCAGTTTCTATTCTGGGGGTGGCCATACGCTTTTTGATAAACGTGTAAAGAATTCATTATAATACAACAGTGTGAGGTTTCGTAAGTGCAGAGAGGTGTGTAGGACGTGTATGAGACAGTTATTTAGAACGACGCAAAATTGCTGGGTGTCACAATTGCCTTAGACAACACAAATGTTGTTCTTTGTAGGGTCTCCCTCTTAAGGGTCCTGAGAGACTCCAACAACAGAAATGCGAGAAAACCAAGAGGCGGGAGGTGGGGATGGGAGTCAAAGAACCAGGTCCAACCAGATCAGCTAGCTCACACAGGCCCAGATTGGGCCGACTGCCTGTTTTGGTGATGCGTTTTGGTTGCTCAATGGGCTGGGGGTGCAGAGCACAGAGCCTGCCATCCTATCCTCCCGGCAGCCTTCTTGAGACCACAGACATTCTAAGAGCATACGTAGACCAAGATCTACCCCAAACTGGCTTCATTTTCTTCATCCAACAACTTCTGAACCCTTATGCACCCCCAATTTGACATCCCTCTTCACGTTTCCCTACCCATGTAAGCTTTGAAGCCTCCTGCTTGGAGAATTACCTTGTCTCCCCCAAGTCTCGCTGTGCCGCTCCTTGGCTTGGCCAGCCAATTAGAACTTCTTTTGCTTTCAGCCATTTTGCATCCCTGTAAGCTGAGGCAGGTGCGACCTGAGAGGTGGCGGTGACACGTCCAGGGTCAGAGGAAGGAGCACCCAGCCCGTTTGTGCCGTTCACATGCTGTTCTTTTTCATTTAGCTCTTTCTTCCTGCTCCTTGGCCCACATGGCCTTTGAAAAGCAGCTTCAACATCATTCCGGAAACTTTGGCATTCGCCTTTGGTTTAGTTCATTCTTTAAAGAGTATTGGTCACTGCTATTGGACGACCCAGTTCTGGAACATTCACTGAGAGAGAACAGAGAGAAAGGAAGAAGAAAAGAGAGCCAACATGTTAAAACTAGATCATCATGAAGCTCCTTATCAGAAATTCAAACAGAGGAAAATTCAAGGAAGAAAGTCAACAATCACCAAGAACACACCCTCTAGAAGCAATCATGATTCACACGAGGTTGGCATTATCCAGCTTTGTAAGTATAAAAGTACGATTCATGATGCTTTTACATTAGGATCCTAATACACGTGTGATTTCATGTTGAAAGATGAACATAAAAAGATAAATGCAAATTACATAAGAAGTTGAGGGTGTGGTGATTTCTGAAAGTTATTATGCTTCCATATGTTTCACTTTTCAACAGCTTGATATGCCCTTTCATGAAAGATGAAAAAGTTACCGCCTTCGGCTTCTCTCTACCTTTCATCCCTCCTCAGCTACTTCCTGACTTTTCCGTGACAATGGCTCTGTTGATGATGTTAACATTTAGACCATTCTGTAACCTGATCTATATACTTGTGTATTCTTGGCTCAGTGCTTAAATGGACTCTGTTCTATGCTCTCTCATGGCATCGCCCCAGCTCCTCTATTCTAGAGTTGTCTTTTGTTGGTGCTGGTGGGGTTTTTTAAATACTCTTTTAGAGATGTGTGGACATGGAGAAAGTTGTGCAGAAAGCACAGAGAGCTAGCTACAATATGCCTCTTGTCTACCCCGCTCAGATATTTAGCTATTCCCATTTCACATCGATGCAGCATCTGTTACAATGATGAATCAGCGCTGATACATCATTGTTAACAGAAGTCCATAGCTGACCTTAGGCTTTACTCTTTGTATTGTAGAGTTCTGTGGGTTTTGACAAACGCGTAATGGCATTTGTCCACCATCTTTTCTAGAATGTTATATAGTTGACATCATTATAGTCTGTAGTATTTTTAGACTGACATCTTTCACGTAGCAAACAACATATAAGGGACGTACATAGTTGGTAGTTTATTCACTCAGCTAATGATGTAAAGAAGTCCTGGGTGGCTCAGTGGTTAAGCTCTCAGCTACCAGCCAGAAGGTCTGTAGTTTGAACCCACCAGCCGCCCCGCAGAGAACGATGTAGCCATCGGCTTCCGGGAAGACTTACAGGCTCTGGAAGTCCTAGGGAACAGTCTAGTGCGTCTACACTAGGGTTTGCTCGGAGCCAGAATCGGCTTGATGGGCAGTGGCCTGGGTTTGGTTGGTGAAGTGCATCCTGGCTGCTTTCGTTTTCGACAGTTATGAATAAGGCTGCGATAAGTATGCGCGTCCAGGTGTTTGTGTGAATATAAGTTTTCAACTCATTCGGGTAAATGTCTAGGAGTGCGATGTCTATACCATTTTGCATTCCCACCAACAGTGAATAAGAGTCCCCGTTGCTCCGCATGTTTGCCAACACTTGTTGTCACCACTGATTTAGATTTGAGCCATTCCAGTAGGTGTGTTTGTTGAGGAGCCTTGGAGGCGATGTTGACGAAGAGTTGGGCTGCTAACTACAAGGTCATTGGCACCCACTTGCTGCTCCGTGGGTGAAAGATGAGACTCCCGTGCTCCGGTAAAGATTCATGACCTCGGAAACCCTCCACAGGGTCATTGTTCTATCAACTCAAGGGCAGTGTGTTTTGTTCTTTAATTTGATAGGTGTGTCTCTGGAGGGGCACAGACAGTGAAGTGCTCAACCATTAGCCAAAAGGTTGGCTGTTCGTACTTGCCCAGAGGTGTCTCAGCCGAGTGGCCTGGTGCTTGACTTTCAAAGGCAGTTCTACTCTGCACACAGGCTTTGCCATGAATCAGAATGGGCTGGATAGCAACTGGCAAGGCCTGTAGGTGTGGTGCATTTCATTGTTGTTTTCATTTGTACTTCCCTAATAACCTCTGTTGATCTCCTGGTCATAAGCTTATTTATCTGCATATCTCCCTGGATGAGATGTATATTCATATCATTTATTTCTTGTCTTATTTTTTATATATTCATATATTCTGTCCATTTTTAGAAATCCAGTTTTATTATCATTCTTATTTTAGCTTTTTCTTATTGTTAGGTTTTAGGAGTGTTTACTATATCTTGGGTACAAACTCTTTTATCAGATATGTGCTTTACAAATATTTCTGTCCAGTCTCTGGCTTGTTTTTATTCCCTGCCCAGTGTTTTGTGTAGAACAGAAGTTTTCAATTCCAACAAAGCCCCACTCCTCAAGTCTTCCTTTTCATCCATTACGGTTCTTCATGTCCATTCATTTCTTGGTCAGCTCCATTTCATTACCGACTGGCTTCCCCAAGAAGACTTCTGTACTGTCTGTCTGTTGCCATGTCCAGAAGGGACAATTTGGGCTGCTTCTTTTTTTTTTTTTTATCATTTTATTGGGGCTCATACAACTCTTATCACAATCCACTTACATCAATTGTATAAAGCACATTTGTACATTTCATTGCCCTCATCATTCTCAAAACATTTGCTCTCCATGTAAGCCCCTGGCATCAGCTCCTCATTTTCCCCCTCCCTCCCCGCTCCCCCCTCCTCATGAACCCTTGATAATTTATAAATTATTATTTTGTCATGTCTTACACTGTCCGACGTCTCCCTTCACCCACTTTTCTGTTGTCCGTCCCCAATTTGGGCTTCTTTACACTAGAATTTGTTGACATTTCTCCTCTTGTCACCTAGAGGTTCGTTTTAAACAGTGTTAAACTGGTTCGTTTGTTCCCTTACTGCTTTTCTTTGCCTTTTTGAAGGAGAATTTCTCTTTCCAAAGAACATGCGCACAAGTGCTTTATCTTATTCTCTGGACTTGTGAATGACTACTAGGAACATACCACAGAGAGATGGTTTTGAAGGAGCCCTGGTAGAGCAGTGGGTTAAGGCTGGGCTGCTAGCTCCCAGGCTGGCAGTGCAAACCACCAACCCACTCACTAGCTGCTCCCTGGGGGAAAGATGAGACTTTCTGCTGCCCATGAAGATTTTCAGTGTCGGGAGCCCAAAGGAGCAGCCCCACTGTGCGCCATTGGGTTGCTGGGAGTCAAAGTCAACCTGATGGCAGTAGGGCTGGCGTTGGTAAGTTATATGGTTTTGCAGTGAAGCAGAGCATTTTTGAAGTTCTCATCACACATCTTTGTTTTCCCCCCTAGAGATCATTGATGACCTTGCCAACCTGGTGGAGAATACAGATGTGAAACTTCGCACCGAAACAAGGCGTGTGAGCAGGGTGGACCAAAAGTCGGCATCCTGTGGTAAGGCCTACCTAGTGTCCTGGTCCTGCGTGCGGGTCCACTCGGCTTGGAGTCGCCCACAGACTGGGGATTTGGTGGTTTTCCTGACTCAGATTGCCTCCTTTGACGGCACATTGACCTTGTTAAAGGCACTTGGGTCTGGTTAGAAGGAAATGAATTGTTTCAGACTCAGAGGTGGTATAATACATGGGTAATTTTTTTAAAATTAAGAACAATTTCTGCATGTGGATAGAGAGTAATGGTTTTGGCAATTGTACGACATTCTGCAAGTGATTGGTGGGGTGCCTTGTGGAGGGAAAGGCGATCTAACTCGGGTTTGTACCTTTTTAATGATAAGCTTCCCCGTGAAACTTGAACTGCCAAGTAGTTAAGAGCCAGGTTCGGAAGTCCAGTGGGGCTCAAAGCCTTTACTAAGTCATGTCTTCTTGGACAGGTCACTTTATCATTTCTTGATACTTCGCGTGGGAGACCCCTGGTACTGACTGGTTAAGCCCTTAGCTCCTAGTGGAAAGATCGGTGGGTCACAGGGAGTAGCCCTCTGCCAGAGAAAGATGTGAGAATCTGCCCTGTGACTCCATAGGGCAGCTCTTCTCTGTCGGATAGGACGAGAATCCTACAGGATGAGGGGCCTGAGGGGCCTTTATCACCTGCTTCCCCAAGGAGCCCTTGTGGCATAGTGGTTATGCCTGGGCTGCTAACTGCAACCTCCGCAGTTCATACCCACCAGCAGCTCCCAGGGAGGGGAAAGAGGCTTTCTACTCCCATAAAGATTTACCGCCTCAGGAACAGCTCTACTCTGACCTCTAGCGGTCCTGTGAGTCAGCGTCAACTCAACAGCAGTGAGTTTATTTGCTTTCTACTCCTCCTCCCCTAGCACATCTCATCCTTCAGGTAGCACCCACTCCATCTGGGTTCTCTTCCAGTGATCACGTGCTCATTTCTGCATCCTGGAAAAACCAAGCCACCCTGGCAGGTGTTCCTCCACCAGTCTTCCTCCATCACTTCCGACCACAGGAACTTGTTGTTCACGAGAGACCCTGAGACTTCGGACCCAGAGAGAGGTGGGTTCATGCCCACCACTGCCTCTCTTAAAAAAAGCATTAAATTTTTTTTTAATTTAAATGTTTAATTAAAAAAATTTTTTTTTAATTGTGAAGGTTTACAGAGCAGGTGGTTTTCCACGGTCCCTTCAGTGTGTGTTTTGGTTCGAGTCGTTCATTGCAGCCCCCACGATGTAGCTTCGCTGTCCTCGCCCCTCCCTGGGGTTCCTGTCTGTCCTTCCTTCTTCCCTAACCTTTATGAACTTTGTCCTTGAGCAGATGCTCCGCCTCTGATCGCAGATGGTGTGGACGCGCCCCTCGAGTGTTATTGTTCGCCTCCCGGGAGTTAGTCTTTGGCTGAAGGTTGAACCACGGGAGTGAATTCTTCTCCAGACCCAAAAGGTGGCCAAAGGCCATGGTCTCAGGGGTTCCAACAGCCTTCATCCAGCTAGTCCACTGCTGTCCCTCTGGTCTCTGATTTCTGTGGCAGCAGCCTTGTTAGTAATACAAAGTGTCCAACACTGTCCAGGCTTTCCATACGTCCGTGGAGGGTTGATGGTAGAGCATGGGCTCCATCACCAGGTGGCCGGACCGCCACCCAGCAGCCCTGTGACCTCAGTCCCTTAAGTCCCTGGTTACGCTTTGGTGACCTCGTCTCCAAGGGGGACCAATAATGCCATATGCTTCAAAGGAATACGTGAATAGACACACCTTGTTTGTCATTTCTTTTATGTTTATGTTTTATATCTTCACGAGGAGACTTAAAAAGTTCAAGGGGAGAATTTCATTATCTTTTCATTCCACTTTTCCCACTAACACTTTGAAGCCCCTTTGTAAAACACTTAGAATCATGTTTGCCACATTGTAAGCAGTGAGCAAGTATTATGATGATGATTTTTATGATTTACTTCAAGATGGGAGAAGCCTTATAACTAAGTTACAACTTTCCTGGGAATCCTGCTTGTTTGTTAAGTAATCATGTTCACTGTATTTGGAGTGAACATTTTTATTGACATACAGTGTTTTTAAAAATATTTTAAAGATAGTAGTTCTCAACACATGCTCTTTTCATAGAAATATTTTACAGAAAAACTTCTTGTCTTTTCAGTTCCTTTTTCCTACTATTTTCTTACTAGCTGCATTGATAGCCTAGCTCACCAACCAAGAAACTATCCTGCTGTCATTTCTGATGTCCGGTACCTGGAAAGGAAAACAATTTGCATTTTAATCTTTCTCAAAGGGAGAATTGCAGTTACTTATGCATTCATTGACCCGCAATGCTGGCTTGCGCATGTTGATGAAGTTTCCGGATGCGACTGCTCAAGCTCTTGGGAACTCAGACTCGTATTTATGACACTCCACAGTGGCTTTCTAAGTCTTCGGCTGAGCACTACCGAGCCTATGAACACAAGGCACATTGTGGCGGTTCCCGAGTAGGCCCAGCAGCCCTTGGCAAACGGCAGACTGATCATTGTTTTGGCTTCCAGCCTGCAAACTCTTAGGTACTTTCCTGTCCGCTCTTTTTCTTTGTCTGATAAAGGCCTCTTGCAGGCAGGAGTCAGGGACTTCCACAGCCCATGCAGGCAGGCAAGGGGTAGGTGGAGGCAATGCAGGCATTGGGAAGTGTCAAGTTGGGACCCCAGAGAGCCACACCAGCAGGGTAAGCGTGAACCCTGACTCAACTTTCCTTCTTCTCGCTGGGCTCCTCTTGGAGGTTGCTACCACTGGTCACTGAGAGAAAAGTAGCATCTGGGACAAGTCGTAGTGACAGAAAGCCTCTCTTGAGGGCTTGTGCCCTGTGCCTAAACATGCAGGGTGGCTCAGGAAACCTCAGGCGCTGCATTTGGTTTGAGGCTGACTTGCCTGTTTTAGTCCCAGGTGCTGAAGCAAAGGAAAGCCCTCTCTGGAGGAAGATTGATGTGTCCTAGGTCTCTGGGAATCAGCACACAGCCAATTTTAAAAAGGCAACGACCAGCACCCAGTGAAAGATTCGTGGACCTGAACCAGCAGACGGTAGAAACCAGGCTGCACTGGTGGGCAGTAGTAGAATGATCAGACATGGATCGTAAAATCAGTGATGCCTACTTTATGGAAAGGAATAAGTGACAAGCTCGCAAGCATTTCAGAGAATAGCAAACTTTTAAAAGTACCGTCAAAAAAGAGAGAGAGAGATAAACAGAACATGCAGCAATAAATAAAAATTTAAAAACCCAAACAGCTGAAAATTTAAACTCAGTGGAGATAATTGGTAGCAGTAGTAAAGGGAAGCCACTGATCAGAAAAAAGTAAACCCCTTTCTCTCAGAAGAGGAGACTCAAATGTCGTGCAAGGGAAAGTAAGATCTTGAGAAGAAAGACATTTGGGAGGCAGGAGACTGGTCAGAGAGCCTGAAGACACGATTCAGAGTTACTCCTTAGCATTGCCCAAATTCCAGGCTGGATTGATCATTTTGTATGTAACACACAAACAAGGTGTGTGCATTTGCCTACGTGGATGGTGTGGTCCTCCGTGGAACTCAAGTGCAACTCGATGACTGTTCGCAGGGAGCTCTGTTGCCATGTAGCGGGCGGGGAAAGCCGCCGGCACATCATCACTGGACTCAAAGGGGTACACAAATACATTGGGGACCGTGAAATGGGCTTTTGGCTTCCTACCCTCAGCACTTCTTCCTCGCTGGTCTGATAGCTCACAAACAGATGCTTTCGCAGTGAGCCCATCTCTCCTTGTAAATACAGACCCCACTGCCAGCAGGCCACACAGAGGAGGGACCTGATGATGATTTGTTGATTCAGTTGTTAACAGAGACTCCAGGCCCTGCTTTGTGGTCCTTTCACGGGAGCCCGCACTTCAAACGCCTCACCCCCTTTGACCCATCTCGGCCTGCTTTCTCCTTTTCCTCTCCCCGTGCATGCCATTTAATATATTTACAGGATCATTTGTATCCATTCACTTATTTTTATTAATTTTTTTTTTCCCCTAGCCTCCAAAGGTAAATGCAGAGGCCGATGCTTGTCTGCTGGTACCGATACGTATCTTCTGATCCGAGTCTCACATTAAGCACACGTGTATGAAGGTCTGGCTCTCGTGGGGACAGTGTAACTATTCAGTGTGCCTCCGCCTCATTAGAATTCAAAATAGAGCCTTGTCTGCATCTGACTGGAGGAGGCAGTCGTGAAAACTCAGGCTCGGCGTTCTGAATCCCCAGGCTTTGAAGGCTGAGTTTGCTTCTCCGCATCCTGTTCCGTTTGTCATGTGGCCTGAATGCCCGCATCGGTTGTGCTTGTAGCGAGGTTTCTGTTTCAGGGACGTGGTGGGAAATAAGCTGGGCCACCGCAGCACCAACGTTCTCACCCAAAACCACACCCACGGCCCTCGTGGGGACCCTATGCGGGGTGTCTGAGGCTTGGTCTTCACGGGAACGGAAACCTCATCTTTCTCCTGCAGAGCAGCTGGTGGCTTGGAACCTCAGGCCTGGTGGTCAGCAGTCCAGTGCTGACCCTACAGGGCACCTTTGTCACGTCACAGCCTCGAACTGTGGAGTGTGGCGTTCAATTCCTCCCGGCAGTCGCACAGTCTGAGGGAAGTGGAGGACGCTTAGGCCTGTGGGCATAGAGCCAGACAAACCGGAGTTGGAGCTTGGGGCTCTACTGCTTACAGATGACTGACTTGAAGAATTCCGTGCTCTGTCTCAGTTTCGTGGTCTATAAAATAAGGCTAGTGATTGCTAGAATGTATGGCGATGCAGTGGATTAGATGAGATCCTGTAGGCAGGTAAGACTGGTCCTAGTGGGTTCTCAATACATGCTGGCTCCGTTAAATGTCCACCCTCCTTCTGTCAGCTTGCCATACTGTGGTGGCTTCTCATTGCTATGATGCTGGAAAGAACCCTGCTGGGCAGAGTGGTTCTAACCACATAGGGCTTCTAACCACAAGGTCAGCGGTTCAAAACCACTAGCTGCT